GGTCTCAGGTCTCAGCTCTTGGAAGTTGATACTTCAATGATATATGGGGCTATACTGAGGAGTATATTATACCATTATACCTACTCTAGCAAGTTTTTTTAAGAATTGTTGTTGGGTGCTGTGGAGTATATTCCAACTCGTAGTGACCTAATATTACAGAGTAGAACTGCCCCATAGGGTTTTCTTGGCTGTAATCTTTACGGAAGCAGATCACCAGGTCTTTCTCTCGAGGAGCAGCTCGGTGGATTCAAACCACCAATCTTTCCATTAGCAGCCTAGCACTTAACCATTGCACTCACCAGAGCTCCTTTTTATAAGTATTAGATGGGAGAATATACATAAGACACTTAGCTGAGTGTCTGTGTAGGCCCTTATGAAGGTAAGGGATGTGGCTGCAATATCTGTCACTCTGTGGGTCTCTGAATAAATTCTATGGATCTTCTTCGGCCATGTCCTCCTTTTCTCTCTCAGTTCCATAAACATCCATCCTCAAGCTGGAAGATGTTTGAAAAGGACAGATAGGGGAAAATTGTTCTTTGCTCAACAGTGTATGAAGATAGGTGCTCAGTAAATTGTTGGGTTTTTCCTTTTTCCCTATATTATCATTTTTAAATCTTCATATTTTTCTTTCTTCTCTAGCCATTTCTTTGGCCATTCATTCTCCCTTAATCCCTGTGTAGCATGCATGCACACACACAAATTTTAAGGCTTCTCATAACTCATTAATCAAGGTCAAGGCACTAATTCTTTACTCTAAAGTCCATTACTGGAGTCCCTAGGGGGTGCAAATGGTTAATATGCTTGACTGGTGTCTTAATCATCTAGTGCTGCTATAACAGGAATATCACAAGTGAATGGCTTTTACAAATAGAAGTTTATTCTCTCACAGTCCAGTAGGCTACAAGCCCATATTCAGGGCGTCAGCTTGAGAGGAAGGCCCTCTCTCTCTGTCGGCTCTGGGAGAAGGTCCCTGTCGTCAATCTTCTCCAAGTCTAGGAGCTTCTCCCTACCGGAACCTCAGGTCCAAAGGACACGCTCAGCTCCCGGCACTGTTTTCTTTGTTTTTAAATTATTTATTGTACTTCAGGTGAAGGTTTACAGAACAAATAGTTTCTCATTA